GCGGAGAGGCTGAGGCCGAATGAGCCGGCAGCAGCTCCAAAGAAGCGGCCAGCGCCGCAGGAGCCGGCAGCAGCAGCTCCGAAGAAGCGTCCGAAGGAGCCCGAGAAGCCGGCAGCAGCAGCGGCAGCGGTGGGGGCTCGCGCCAAGGCCAAGCCTTCTCTCCCGGAGGCGCGCTGCGCAAGTGAATTTGGGCCCTCTGAAATCGACTAGGGGCAGCTTGGCAACAAAATCAAAAAAAACCAAAAAAAAAAAAAACGCGCCAAGGTTGAGTCAGTAAGAACGAACAGTTTGTCCCGCCCCGCAACAATCGTTGTTAATACAGCAACTCTTCCAGGCCTATTAGTTGGCGACAAGGCCCAAGTGTTCGCTGTTCCCCCCAAAACACGGCCTGGATCTCTAAGTGTCAAATGCGTTCAACACATCCAACTAGGTGACCAGCGAAGATGAGATTTTGGCTTCCTCCTGGCATCCTGGTGTGGGAGACCAAGCCTTGGAAGAAAGGCCCAAGTTGTCGGGCCCCTCTCTCAACAACTTAGCCTGCCTTGCCAAGATGTTTGGCCATCATCTCCAAACACTTGGCGAGCTGCTGTTTCCTCCCAAAAACTTGGAGATTGGAAACCCAAGTTTTTGGAGCAAGCACTTGGCATGAAGGCCCAAGTGGTTGGCCCCTCCCAACTATTGACCTTGTCTTTCCAAGTTTTTGCTTGTGTCCAAATACTTGGCGCAACTTGGCGGCGACAAACGGAAACCAAGCGTTTGGAGCAAGCGCTTGGAACAAAGGTCCACATGTCATGTTTGGCCCGGCCCCACTCCCAGCAACTTTGCCTGTCACTGCCAAGACATTTGGCCATCTCCAAATACTTGGCGTGCAAGGCAGAGTTGCTGGCCCCCTGCCAAAAACTTGGAGATTGGAAACCAAGTTTTTGGAGTGAGCTTGCCCGCCAAGTGTTTGGCCATCTCCAAACACTTGGCACAGAAGGCAAGGTTTGAGTAAGCGCTTGCTATAAGTTCCAAGCGTTTGACCGCCCCCAAAAACTGAGCCTGCCTCTTCCAAGTTTTTGGGCCGTATCGAAACACTTCCAAAAACTTGAAGATGGGGAACAAAGTATTTGGAGCAGGCACTTGGTATAAAGGCCAAAGTGCTTGACCAAACCCCAACAACTGAGCCTCCCCAAGTTTTTGGCTGTGTCCAAACACTTGGCACGCAAGGCAAAGTTGTGCTCCAGAAACTTGGTTGGCTTGAAGGCCAAGCGCTTGGAAGGAGACTCGGAGCATCGCCTCTTTGGCGTACCTCAGGGACAACAAGGGCTACCACTTGAACCTTGGACTACTGTTTTTTTTTTTTCGCGGCGCGCCGCTTCTTGGTTTCATCTTGTTTTTCCTGTTGCTCCCCAAACCGCTCGCTCGGCATCCTAGGACGCACATTCCGCTGCCCTGGGGCCCCGGCAAGCTTTTCTGCTGCGGTCATCTGGACTACGGCTCTGTGGGTGACGCGCTGATCATCAACTGCCAGCGGGAGGAGCAGCTTGTCAGCTCTACTTCAGACTTTCTCATGTCTTCAAACACATTGGGAATTGCCTAAGACCCTGAGCAGTGATTTGCCACAGAGCTTCCAATGTCGGCGGGTAAAGCTTCGCTTCACCAACCCAGGCTGCATGCTGATGCTCGGGCTTCGATGGCAAGGGCCAGCAACGAGTGCAAGCTGATTTTCTTCAACCCCAACCACAAGCACAAGGGTCAGCACTCGGAGAGCCTTGTCGAAAGAAAGGCGACAACCGTGAGCCTGAGGGCATCCTGAAACGTCAAGATGTTTGCCATGGCCGTTCTTTAAAATTACACAGCGGGGATTGGGCAGGCTTTAAAACAAAACGCATTGAAATTGTTCTTTTCCAAGCAACACAAGCTGGCGCGCCTAGGTTGGAGCAGCTGATCGTGAAGTGCTTCCTTGCACTGAAGCGCCGCAATGTGGTGATCCACTGCAACTCTGGGGTGCACCGGGCGCCTCAGGTGTGCGCTGCCGTGGCGATGATCGCCAAGTGGACGACTTGGTCCAAAGCCGTTGCTGGGCAGCAGTAGTTGCCGTTGCTGGTTCTGCTTTCCTGCTTGGCTGCTTTGAGTTTGATTTCTGTATGCTGTGACATTTACTTGTCGACGCCTTCAGATTCAGCCACGTCCTGCTCCGAGGTGGACTATGTGCGTGCCCAACGGTGTCAAGCGCAGTTTGGGGACCACTGGACGTTGCTTGGCTTGCTCTTGCGCTGTGGTTTCCTGCTTGTTTTCTTACAAGGGGCCGTTTTGATTTGCCAGAACGGACGCTGTCATGTGGGCCAACCAAGGTTCGGAAAGATGGCGCACGACCACCGCGACTCCTTCCAAAGGGCCTTGGACTCCCTCATGCCTCGGTAGAAAAAAGTTGCAGCAACGCTTGAAGTGCGCAAGCTGGTGTCAGTGCAATTTCATTCGCAGCACCGCATGCCTAGATTTGCCTGCAGGACGTACATTCGCCTCCGGCTGTCGCCTGGGGCCTAGCGCCGTCTCAAACGAAAGCGCTCTTGTCCAAGGCAATTGAGGGCCATTGGCCATTGGTTTTTGGTTGCAGGGCTCAGGCGCGTGGCCGTTTTCAGTACCTGCGTCTCCAAATCGCTTTCTGGCAAACATTTGGCCCGGAAGAAAACAGCCTCCCATGTTTTTGAAGCAAGCGCTTGGTGTGAAAATCCAAGTGCTTGGCCCCTCCCAACAACCCAGTGGCTGCGCTCCAAGTCTTTGGCCCTATCCAAATACTTGGCATCAAGGCAAAATCGTTGACTCATTCCGATTCACTAGGTGGCGGTAAACAGAAACTACGTTTTTGGGCCAAGCCCATTGCGGGCTTGCTGTGAGCTACCCGTTCAGCCCTCTTGCCTGAGTTGCCCGCAACTCGGTGAACATCATTCTGGCGCTGCGCGCAAGGAGAAGTCACTCAGTTGTCGTTGAGTTTGAATGATTCAAGTCTTTGACTGCCTGAGTACTCTGGAAACCTTTGAAGCCTGGTTTTGGCGCATCAAAAAAGCCCCCATGTAAGGCAAGGTTGGGAAAACTTGGTTCCCCATCTCTAAGTTTTTGGTAGGGGGGCAGCAGCTTTGCCTTGCGCGCCAAGTGTTTGGATACTGCCAAAAACTTGGGAGAGGCAGGCTCAATAGTTGGGGTAGGGGCCTTCATACCAAGCGCTTGCTCCAAAGACTTGGGGTTCCCATCTTGGCCGCGGCCCAACAACATTGCCTTCTGCTGCTAGTATTTGGAGATGGCCAAATACTTGGCGAGGCAGCATAAGTTGCGAACCAACCACTTGGGCCCTCATGCCAAGTGCTTGTTCCAAAAACTTGGTTCCACATCTCCAAGTTTTTGGCCAAGTGTTTGGAGATGGCCAAACATCTTGGCAAGGCGGGCTAAGTTGTTGGGAGTGGGGCCAACCACTTGGGCTTCATGCCAAGTGCTTGCTCCAAAAACTTGGTTCCACATCTCCAAGTTTTTGGCCAGGGACCAGCAAGTTCTGCCTTGCGCGCCAAGTGTTTGGAGATGAACCAAACATCTTGGCAAGGCGGGCTAAGTTGTTGGGAGTGGGGCAACCACTTGGGGCCACTTGGGCCTTCATGCCAAGTGCTTGCTCCAAAAACTTGGTTCCGCATCTCCAAGTTTTTGGCCAGGGACCAGCAAAGTTCTGCCTTGTGCGCCAAGTGTTTGGAGATGACCAAACATCTTGGCAAGGCGGGCTAAGTTGTTGGGAGTGGGGCCAACCACTTGGGCCTTCATGCCAAGTGCTTGCTCCAAAAACTTGGTTCCACATCTCCAAGTTTTTGGCCACGGACCAGCAAGTTCTGCCTTGCGCACCAAGTGTTTGGAGATGGCCAAACATCTTGGCAAGGCGGGCTAAGTTGTTGGGAGTGGGGCCAACCACTTGGGCCTTCATGCCAAGTGCTTGCTCCAAAACCTTGGTTCCGCATCTCCAAGTTTTTGGCCGGGGACCAGCAAGTTCTGCCTTGTGCGCCAAGTGTTTGGAGATGACCAAACATCTTGGCAAGGCGGGCTAAGTTGTTGGGAGTGGGGCCAACCACTTGGGCCTTCATGCCAAGTGCTTGCTCCAAAAACTTGGTTCCGCATCTCCAAGTTTTTGGCCGGGGACCAGCAAGTTCTGCCTTGCGCGTCAAGTGTTTGGAGATGGCCAAACATCTTGGCAAGGCAGGCTAAGTTGTTGGGAGTGGGGCCAACCACTTGGGCCTTCATGCCAAGTGCTTGCTCCAAAAACTTGGGTTTCCAATCTCCAAGTTTTTGGCCGGGGACCAGCGACTCTGCCTTGCGCGTCAAGTGTTTGGAGATGGCCAAACATTTCGGAAAGGCAGGCTAAGTTGTCGGGAGGGGGGCATGTGGCATCAGCATGATTTCTTTTGTGAGATAGACAGGCAAGGGGCATATCCGAAGATGATGTCTGCTTTCCCTTTCCAGTTGCCAGAAGAGGACTTTCAATTTCCAGCCGAATCCCGCTAAAAAAAAACTTTAGGCTGGCTGACTCTAGCCACGAGAAGGAGACATATTATTTCCAGCCAGCCGACCCTTTGAGGGTGATGTCAGCCCTTTTCCATTTGGCCGGTCTGAAAAGGGGGCTTTCCGTTTTCCGTTTCCAGCTCCAGCCGGTCCGTTTTTCCCGTTTTTCCAGGCTTTCGGCCGTTTCCGGAAGGGGGATTTCCATTTCCAGACTGGGAAACGGAAGCGAAAACGGAAGCGGCCCCGCCAGGCGAGGAGCCTCTAAAAAACCAGCCCGGGCGCGCCTGGCTTGTTTCTCGTCTTGTTTTGCCGGACGTGGTGCCCAAACCCTCCTGAAATGCGACAAAACGCGTAAAATCATGGCCACAAAAGCTAACTTGAACTAGCGTGGGCTTGTTTTCATTGATTGCTGGTCTTGTTTTCATGGGGCAGCTGCTACGGCTCAAGGCTACACCAGGGCTCAGTTACCCACCCACCGCTGAATGGCGAAGCGTCAGCTTAAGGGCAGGCGCGGGCCACCTCGCAAAGCGAACAGCGTCATCAAGCGGAAGTGCCAGTTCAAGAAATGTCGGCGCGGTGTGGATGTGAAAAACATCAGCAACAAGCTCACTCTGGCCAAAAGTCAAGTGGACGCAGCCTCTTGCAGAAACATATCGGAAAGGTGCCAGGCAGTCAAGTTCTGCTGCGAAGACCACATGAAAGCCTGCAAGAAGAACAAGGCTGCAGCCAAGCCACGAGGTGGGAGAGCTTGCTTGGACATTGCGCAAATCCAGTGCTTGTTCTCTGTGCTCCTGGAGGACGGGTGTGCCTGGGCAGCAGCCCTCATGATGACCCAGCTCTTCATGGGGGATCGTGCTGACGCAGCACGTCAGTGCCAATGGTCTTGGCTGGAAAATCTGGCCCCAGAGTCACTGAAACAGCCTACCATGCGCATCCCACGAGTAAATGGCAAAACAATTGCCAGGGAGGTGGCGCTTTTCCCTCCCTTCGCCCGGCTGCTTTGGAAATGGTGCCAAGTCAGCCCCCTCCAAGCCAAAAATGGGAGCCAGTGGCCTTGCGGCCACAAGCCCAGCGGAGATGACCTTTTGTTCCCAGGTTACAGCAGCGATGGTCAAAAAAGGCAATGGGACAAGGCCATCTCTGAACGAGCCTATTTGGCCCGACTTCATCGCGCAGCCTCAGTCATTCAGAAAGCCCGCCGGCAAGCTGAAGAATCGCAGGAGCAACACGCATTTTGCGACTTCGACCTGAGCAAGCTAGGCACACACTCGTTCAAAAAAACAACAGTGACTTTGCTGTCTGAAGCCCATGTCGCGTACTCCGTCATCAGTTCAATTTGCGGCACTTCAGTCAAGGTGCTCCAGAGCACATATGACTTGGCCACGCCAAGCCGCCAGTCCTCCGCATGGCGGGTGGCCTTTAAGGACCTGGCAGACACGCTTGATGCTGGTGGGAAAGCCGCTGCGCTGAGTCACTGCGGTGGGTGCGGGAAAAAGCAAGGCAATGACAAACACCGCTTTTGCACGGACTGCGGCATGGAGCTTTGAATTGAATTGCTGCACTGCTTGCCACGCAACGCTGTCTCACATCCTGTCTCACTCGGATGCATGTGCTCACTCTGTCAGCGCAGGAAGAAGCAGCTTTGATAATGGAAGCAACACAAAGTAGTAGCTCATGTCACATGAAATTGATGTCATTGAAAATTGCATGGCTCCCGATAATTTCGCCCCTGCGCTGGCGGATTGCCAGGTCTGGCCTGGCCTGCGGACTCCTGGTCCGGCCCTCAGCTTAGTCTTGATGGCAACATGGAGGGAACACTTATTGTGACTTACTTACGCGCTCGTGACATTGCTGGGGCTTCGAGTCAGGGAAAGCAGGCAGCCGCTTTGAAGCTCTATGAGCTGCACCTTGGTTTGCGAAACCGGCGCCTCACCTGCTCTGTCTCACTCATGGAGCCAATAAGGGCGGCCCGGAAAGGGGACTGCATCCAATCCGACACCGCCTTGCGGTGGGCTTCTGAGGCTTGAAGGCCCATCTCGTTGGTGTAGTACAACTTCGCGAGCTTGCAAAACTGGGCCTTTTGCTCGATCACCTTGCCTGGTTGCATGCTGTTGCAGGCGCAACTCAACACCTGAGACTAAAAGGACTTACTCATGAACAAAAACCTGAACAAGAGCTACTGTAAGCCAAGCCAGGGACCCTGGAGGCGAAGGTCCGCTGGTGGCTGGAACCTCCCCTGATCGTCCTGCGCTTTGCCGTCATCTTCAGCAGCAGCCTCATCCCGAGACACCGCCTCATCCTCAGCAGCCTCATCTGCGTTGGCCATCGCCGCCTTGTCCGCAGCAGCCTCATCTAGGTCAGCCTTCTCCGCCTCAAATGGCCCGTAAACAATCTCGTCCTCTTCCTCTCCTTCGGGGGCTGTTCCTGCTGCACTTGGCTTCTTCATCATGGAAGGCTTGCGCTTGACACCCCCGCGTTGCTGCGCGCTTGCGCTGGGCCCCTGCGCCACCGCCTTTGGCTGCGCCTTTGCCTTGGCCTTTGACTTTGCCTTGGCTTTGGCAAGCCCCTGACTGCTGCTTTGCTCCTTCTTTGGCTCTGACTTGGCCTTGGCATGAGCTGCTGCCTTTAAGGCTTTGCCCTGACAACCTTTCTGCTCCTCTGCCCCCGGCTTTCCCGCGGGCTTCTTCAGAACCTGGGCCTGTTGAAGCTCTTCTTCAACTTCCTCCTTGAGGCTTGTCGTGTTCTTCGTGTGACCGCCAGCCGCCGCCACCTGCGAAAACAACCCCGACAAGGTTCTGGGAGCTGGCGCAGAAGGTGGCTGGAATGGGCTTCCCTGCTGAGCAGTCTTTTTGACATTCGTGGGAGTGAGCAGCGGGGACACAGGCCCAGGCTGCGCAGACCGCCGCTGCTCATCAATCACTTCTTCTTCCAAAGCAGACCAGTCCATGAGACTCAACCGGCAGCAGTCAGGGCTGAGAGAGTTGGAGCCACTGGCGAGCTCAAGATTCAGAAATGACATGCTTGCAATATCCGCAAAGTTGGGGCAACAACGCACGCAAGCTGTTTTTCTTTTTGGGATCTAGAGCAGCGATCGGGTGTGTCCTACTATAGCACTGACTGTCTTCAAATCTCAAGGCATGATGCCTCAAATCACAAAACTTTGCCTGGGAAACTTCCCAGGTCAAGATCAGGGTTCCGCCTTAGAACGAGACTTCTGCTATAGGGTCAGGCGGTTTCCTATTTCCCAAAGCTTCTACGGGCACCGGTACACGGAGCCCTGAAGATCTCACACAACACGGACGACCTGCTGGGGCTGCAAGGGAAGATCGCGCTTGAGGAAGAACTCGGGCCTCTTAGGCACCATCACGCCCAGGGCCATGTCCACAGTGAGGACCCAAGAAAGCTGAATGCGAGGTGAGGCGTGGATGAGCTTGGCCGGTAGATAGCTTCCCAGGTTGCTGCCCCTGACGGTCTCAATGGATGGCGCGGCCTTTGGCTTCAAGCACCAGGTCGTTGCGTCTTCAGGCTTGATCTCAAAGTGATCCACATCGCCTGGGGCATGCGCTGCTCCTGAGGGCCGCTCGCAGGAGTGGCCCCAAACCTTCAGGCTCAGCAATCCAGCAACCTCAGCCTCGTGAAGCACTGCCCGCAAGGGCTCTGGGTCTGCCGTCACGGTGGTTCCCTCTGAGGAGATTTCGCACATTACCTGAGCACGGGAGCAAACAAATGTCAGTCAACGGCTTGGCCTTAGTTGTGTTTTGTCACACAAGCAGCTAAGATGCAAGGGCGGTGTCCGAGTTGAGCTCAAACACGTACAAGTGCTTCTCGTTGTCGGAGGCAAGCAGTCTGGTAGACTTTGGGGGTTTGTACCAATCGGCTGCCCCCATCTTGAACAACGCCTTTTCCTTGGCCTTCACTGTCAAGGACTCCTGCGCTTGCAAGTAGACCTTGAGGGAATCCAGCTCGCCGTCGCCTAAGTCCATAACCAAGTTCAAGCCTTTGATCTCTGTGGCGCATGTGTGGGTCGTTCGGCCATCCAGCAGGCTCGCAGGCTGGGCCTCCCACTCTGCAGGAAGCTCGCCGGCGGCGCCGGTTTCCTCAGCGGTGACCACGGTGGTGGCTGCAGATCCTGATCCTGACGAGGCCGCAGCCATCGCTGCCGCCGTCGTCTCCACGTTGCCTGTCGCCAGCTCATCGCACTTACGAAGCTCTGCAAGCCACTCAGGGCCGTAGACTGGGTCTGAAGACCACTTCTTTCGGATTTGAGAGGGGACAACCGCTTTGCCCTCAGTGCTGACGGTCATCAACGTCAACTCAGGCATGGGGGGGTCAGAGAAGCGCTTCGCCTCTGCGTCCGGCAACTTTGCTTGGAACTTCAGCGAGGGTTCCGGCTGCAGTTTGAAGGACGCCTCCTTCCAGTCAAGCAGCAAAGCCTTGCCAACACGACCCTGGCAGGCCTGAGCCGAGAGCAAGTCCAAGCCCAGGCTGCAGACTCGCCAAGAAGATGGCCCCTTGTTGTTGGCCTTGAGGCACCCCAGCTCCAGCCCGCCATCGTGAGGGCAGAAATTGAACACCGCCACTGCGTCGCTTCGCTTGGTGAGGATCGGCTTGGGGGAGCTGTCGCTGGTGTGAAGCAAAGCCTGGAAGAGGGCCATCGGCACGCTCTCTCCAGCAAGAAGGTGCGCCGCTCGCTTCTCCAAACTGAGGTTGCCTGGGGAGCTTGGAGCGCCAGGTTGCGCAGCTGTGAGCACGTAGTCAGATGGGCTCATCCAGTCGGCTTCCTTCATGGTTGCCTTTCGGCGCAACAGAAAGCTGGTGGTGAAGGGGTTGGAATCTTCACCAGATTCTGGGATGAGAACGTACGCATCATAGCAAACTTGGCGGCTGTCGTTGCCATGGAGGGACACCTCGGACATCCTCAACGACACCAAGATGGGGATGAAGCCCTTGTTCTCCGCCTTCAGCTCCAGGCGTGCCCGCTCCGCTCGATCTCCTGTCAGCACAAGCTTCGCCAACTCCACCAAAAGTTCAACATATTGGGCTGTTTCTCCCGAAAGTGTTAGCGAAGGATTGTTTTGCAAAACAGGTTGCTGGCCACTCGCAGCCTCACATTTACAGCGGTGGCACAGCGGCGCAGGCGCAGCACAGCGTTGCGCAGGTTTGATCGCAGATTCGCATTCACAGCTTAGCGTTGCACAGCGATTACGCGACTGGCGCACCAAACGGAAAGTTGATAGGCAGTCTGGCTTACCCAGTGCTGCCTTGCAGCCTGCGTTACGCAGCCTAGCTCACGCGGCCTCAAGATCACAACTCTCATCTCTGTCATCTCTGTCTTCGTTCTTGGCAGGGGGGGGGGTTAGGTTTCGCAGGCATCGGAAGGATAAACTCTACAAATATCGCACGTGTCTGGCTTACACGGCCTGCCTTTCGCAGCCTGGCTTACACTACGCAGTCTGGCTTTTTCTGGCTTACACAGCTTGCGTTTCGCAGCCTGACCTACGCAGCTTGGCCTACAGCTCTTTTCTCTATCTTCCTGCTTTGCGGGGCGTAAGTTTGGTGGGCATCGGTGGGCGAACCCTTTGCGAAAATTGCGTGTGTCGAATCGCTCTCGCTGTGGCCGTCCGTGCGCCCGTTGGCCGTTGAACCCTCTGCGGGGATCGGGTGCATCGGCTCACTCTCGCTGCGGCGCCGTGCAAACTTGAAGGCTCGCCAGCAAACTCGGCAGGGATCGGGTGTGTTGGAAGTGGCTGCGCTTGTTGCAGAGGAAAAATTGCTGCTGCAGGGATGCCTGTTGGGTGAAGCAAGCGCTGCGCAATGTGTTTTACTCGTGTCGCGTCATAAATTGAGCATGCTATGAGACAGGGGGGAAAAGCCGTCGGCGCAGATCAGGCCTGAGCAGATTTGTCCGACTGCGCGCGGCCTTGTCATCGGCTCCGGCAGTCAGCTCTGCATGTCGCCGCAGCAAGAGGGATCCGACGCAGCTCCCTACATAGATTTCACCCGCGAGCTTGCAAATTCGCGTGGCATCACTGCGAGATCTCTCAACGTTGCTTGCTTTTAGCTTGCATTGTCGCATGGCACAGCTTGTCTGACACACACACACACGCACACCCACACACACACACACACACACACATCCGCGCCAAATCTCTTTGCGCTACGCCTTGAAAAATATTGAACCTACATTCCGCTTCCAAACCGTCCAGCGCTAATCACAACGCGTCTTGAGCTGGAACCTTGCGTGCCACGTTGTAGCTGCTGAGCCTCGGCTACTGGAACTTGGCGCGGGATGTTGATCTTCTACGCGGGTGCGTGCACATTGGCGGAAATCGGGGGCCTAGGTTGAAGCCTCAAGTAAAGGCAGCCAACAATGTTGAACTTGCAGCTCCTGTCAGCCGCTTCTTGGACACGACCGTGGTCGGCACGATGATGGCAGCAAAGTTGGTTGGGTCCTGCGCGGCCGCCTGCTGCACAACATCGAACATGTTGCTCACCGCGTCATCAGACATGCGCCCGAACTTGTTGCAGTCACAGTAGAAGATCTTGAGAACAACGCCGTTTGTTGATGAATCCGGGCCACACCGCAGAAAACGCGACCACGCCTGTACCTGAGACGCGCCCGTCTCGCAGCCCTTGATGTTGCACATGTTCTGCATGAACGGTTCAATGACCTGGGTCCTCGCTGAGTGGACTTGGTTTCGCACCCACGCAGCCAGCGCGATCTTCTGCGCTTTGCTGTTGCTCTGCTGCTCCTGGACGTGCAGGCAGTACTTGCACAAGTCAGCATTCAGAGACAGCATGTCTGCTTTGAACTGGCTTTCTTGCTGCTGCTCATTGATGGCATTGAGGTCAAGGCGGAGCTGCATTGGGTTGGTTGTCGCTCCTTCTTTGCCAAATGACTGCGGCCACGGCCACTCCTGCAAAGTCCAATCAGGGCTTCTGGCCGCAATCTGGGCCCGGAATGTCGCCAGGAAGTCCCCCTCTGTGCCTGAGAGGCCATTATGTGATTGGCAAAAATGCGAGTGTTCCCGTAGCAAAAACAATAATACGCCTACTTTCCGAGACTTGGCGGGCCCAAGTCTGGCGCAGGCACGTTCTGTTTCCGAGACTTGATGGGCCCAAGTTTGGCACGGGCGTTTTCTCTTTCCAAGACTTGGCGGGCCCAAGTCTGGCGCATGTTCTGTTTCCAAGACTTGGCGGGCCCAAGTCTGGCGCAGCCATGTTCTGTTTCCAAGGCTTGATGGGCCAAGTCTGGCACGGGCGTTGTCTGTTTCCAAGACTTGGTGGGTCCAAGTCTGGTACGGGCATGTTCTGTTTCCGAGACTTGACGGGCCCAAGTCTGGCGCAGGCATGTTCTGTTTCCGAGACTTGGCGGAAGAAAACAAACCGCAAGTAAATGCCAAACAGCACCAAGTTGCATCTCTTCCGCAAAGCATCCCTCTCTGCATCAGGCTGTGTTCCCGCGTTGGCTAGGGCATGGCCACACCAGCACGAGTAATCGCAGAACTCTGCCCACTCGTCCAGGGTCAAGTTCTTTTGCCGGCCAGCTTTCAAATTGCGAAGAACCTGCCCGCAAAGGCCAGAAGAAGGAGTCGGAATCTAGCGAAAACCGACACTGGCAAACCTCCGCGACGCAGCGCCCCGAAGAACAACGCTCTCCCTGCCTCATGGTTCACAACCTCCGCCAGGATTTTCTGCTTCTCGGAGTCCATGACAAGCATTTGGCCCCAAATGGAATGATCGTTGGCTCTACCGCTCGAGCCCCCAATGATCCATCGCTTGGTCTGGAGGACCTTGAGCCTGTATGGGTTTGCCTTCTCCGGGGCGATGTCCAGCAGCCTGCTCACAGAACGGAGAAACGCAGGGCTGCTGTGAAGAATGCAGTTCATGATCGCATCCCTCTGCACAGCGGAGAGCTTGTACGCTGAGTTCCTTGGCTAACAATAGGAGGCAGGCCCAGTTTATCAAATGCCTCAAAGAAAAGGATTTTGGCGACATGCTTTGAAGTGAATGGTAATGCCAAAAGTCTGGCAACGCCCATCGTACTCCTCAAGAACAGACGCGAGGAGCTGCTGCATAAGGGTGAGGTTGTCCATGACATCCTTCCCTGGGCAATCTTCCTTTCCCAGCTCCAACATCGCGGAATGGAATTTGATAGCGAGCGAGACAATTGTTAGCGGCCGCCGTTCCTGCAGCATCTGGGACTGAAGGGTGGCCTCATACAGGCGCTCTCGGCTGGACTCTACAGCCTCCACGGACGTGTACACTTGACGAGCGCTCTGCAAAAACCTCAGGCAAAATGGTCACAGTACAATGTTAGCACTGTTCGCTTCCTGGATGTGTTTTTCCAGCCAGGCTTCAAAGTCAAAAGCTTTCAAGAGGTGTTCCAGCAAGATTGGGCGTCGGAAGGTTTCGTCGCAAGTTTCCCTCAGGAGCTTTGGGATTTTCTCCGGCGAGGTTGCGCGGCAAGATTTCCGGCGAGGTTTTGGCGTCGGACGTTTCCAGCAAGGGGTTGCATCTTTCCGGCGAAGTTTTGTGAGCAGATGTCCGGCGAGGTTTTGGCGGTATCATTTTCCGGCGAGGTTTCGCGGCAAGTTTTCCGGCGAGTTTCCGGGAAACTCACCAGAAAATGGTAGGGGAAAACCTGCCCCAAAAAACCCTCGCCAGAAGCCAAACGGGCCCACAAGAAAATTGCCTGTGGAGCCTCCCCTAGACCAATTCCTCACCAGAAACCAGACGGGCTTTTTAAAAAAAAAAATCTGGTGAGTTTCCGGGAAACTCACCAGATTTTAAATTGTAGCTGTACCTAGCCAATTTTGCAATTTTTCCCCCCAGCATGGTAGCCGGGCTAGGGCCAAAAATTGCAAAAAAATGCTAGGTACAGCTACCATTTAAAGTCTGGTGAGTTTCCCGGAAACTCACCAGATTTTTTTTTTTAAAAAGCCCGTCTGGTTTCTGGTGAGGAATTGGTCTAGGGGAGGCTCCACAGGCAATTTTCTTGTGGGCCCGTTTGGCTTCTGGCGAGGGTTTTTTGGGGCAGGTTTTCCCCTACCATTTTCTGGTGAGTTTCCCGGAAACTCACCGGAAAACTTGCCGCGAAACCTCGCCGGAAAATGATACCGCCAAAACCTCGCCGGACATCGGCTCACAAAACTTCGCCGGAAATATGCAACGCCAAGATCTCGCCGGATATCCCTTGCTGGAAACGTCCGACGCCAAAACCTCGCCGGAAATCAGGCCGCGAAACCTCGCCGGAAAACGGCCAGCGCCAAAACCTTGCGATAAAGCGGCCTACACAAAAAAACGCCAGAAAACCAAAATGATGCCAAGCCCCCTGCAGACCCGTGCGAAACATGACAATGACGGCAGAGAACACCGTGCGTGGGCACCCTGCCCAAATCTCCGCTCTCGTGGCACCTCCTGGCCTTGAAGCCTTGCCCTAGCCGTGACCCACGAAGCCTAGGAACGATGATTGCCTCATAGAACTGCTGCAACTGTACCCAAATTCCAAGCCAAGGAGCTGAATCCACAGCTTCGTCCCCTCCTGCATTCTGGAAGCGTCGAGCGACTCGTGGCTGCCCGTGTCTTCAACAGCATCTGCCCCCTTCATGACGGCGAAGAGCAAGGCACTGATCCTCGAGAAGCCTTTCCCAGCCAAGTACGCAAACTGACCCTGACCTTTGTCTCCAGGGTGCAACGTGATCTTGATAAACTCCCGGTTGTCGTATCCGCGGGGCTCAGTCACAATGTCCTTCAAGCAGTTCATCCATTGCGGCAGCCGCGGCCAGTCCACCACTGCTTCGCCTGCCAGCTTCCCAGAGCCCCTATCAAAAAGCAACTAGCGCAAATTCCATACCTCAACTTCACATAGCAGGTGGGGCAAACCACACCCACAACCTTGCCTAGCACATTCATCTCAGTCCGTGTCAAAACGAAGCTTGTGAGAGCGGTGTGGCTCGGGCTGCTTGCGACCGGCTCATCTGGCAGATATTTCATGAAAATGCTCAGGATTTCCGATCTTGCCGCAGCGCCAGTGTCGCCGAACTGCTCCAAGGCCCACTGGCAAGGATGGTCTTTCAAACTCTCGGCCAGCTTGATCACTGCCTGCGCACGGTTGCATTCTTCACGCAGCTCAGCACCCTGGCATGAAAGCACGCAATGAGCAGCAACTGGAGCATTGGGCATTTTTCTGCTAGACTACGCAGCAGGTGTTGAATTCTTACTGTCCTACACTTGGCGGTAAAGCAAGGGCCGCATAGAGACAGCTACACCTTCTCGATGTAGAGCAGGGCCGCAACACAAGACAGGCCCCGAACATGGCAGTCCCGGCCATTGGCACCAAAGCAGTCTCTATCTTCTAATAATCCTAACAGGAATTCCACTAATAATAAAATAGCATTTTTCTTTTCATTATTAGTAAAGATTTCTATGGAAAGATATTAATTCTCTATCTATATCTTCTTCAAATTACCTCCGGGTTCTCTTCTTTCTCACATCCAGATAATGCATTAGAAGCATGTGGATTACTAACTCCTTTACATATAGTACCTGAATGGCATTTCTTATGCCAATATGCTATGTTAAAAGCTGTGCCAAATAAAAATGCAGGATTCATTATCTTATGTACGTCTATCTTCATCTTATTTTACTTTATGAGAAGTCTCTCTTTGTCATTCTATTTTATACTATTTACATCTAGTAGATTTAATGGTTTTTATCTGTGCTTTTGGTTTCTGAATCTTTTTTCTTTTATTTGGATAGGTGGTCAATTTCCTGTAGACAACTTTCTATCTTATGGTCGTATCTTGACATGTAATTATTACTATCTTATTATCTGTATCTTATTGTCTTTTTATTTGGTTTTATTTGCATTTTTAGAATTGTTGGTTAAAATCTTAGAATTATGGAAATTACAAAATGAAGATAATGAAAGGCTAATAAAAAATAGATCCAGAGGTTTACCGAAAGTTAATGAAAAGTTGATTATCTATCCTCATCTTGGGATTATGTTAGGTCTCAATTGGAATTATTCTCTAGGGATAGGTAATTGCTAAGAAGAATGGTGATGGAGAAAGAAGAAAAACAATAAAAATGATGCATGAGATTCAAATATTAAACCTAATAAAAGCTTATAATGAAGATATGAAGGGTAAGGATGGTTAGGATGGATGTAGGTCTATTTCTCCATCATAATGCTTTTATTACATTTAATGTTTAAAACATTTGACATGTTGATCATAAAGTCTTGGAAATATGCCATCATTCACTTCTTTTATTATTTGCATTTCTTATTTTAACTTTTATTGGTTTTACTTTGATATTTTTATTAGCATTATATGGTTTCTGAATTATTAAGCAAACAAAAATAAAAAGATAAAAGGGAAAAATATGAACAAGATGTTGATACTATGAAAAAGTCATTCCATGGAATGCATTAGAGATAAGATAAGATGCATGACAATAAGAAAATACAAAATGATTATTGACGGATATTATTGTAACCCATTGAATCTTAGCTTTTACAGAAGTTTCTGAATGAATTTTCCTGTCCCCTTCTTGCCCACAAGCGGCCCGAGCGCGTTATGGACTGAAAGAGCTTCGATAAACTCATGCTGCGCTAGTGCGCCCCCTTCCAATCCGTACGGACATCTGAGTCCTCCTCAAGCCCGTGCAAACACATGAGTCGCAGAATGAGTCACAGCTAACCTCAGGGCCTACCCGACAGCGTGGCACGACTGCAAGCACGGCAGCACCACGCCTCTGCCCAAAACGGCACTTCGGTCTTTGAGCGCTTGGTAGGAGCAGCGCCGGGGCGGCCCGACACACGTTTGCCCATGATCACAGCACACACTGGCCCGGCTTGATGCAAAATGTCTCAAAGTTACCAACATGTGGCCGTGCTTTGCTAGCTGCTGGCTGCACAATGCCCTTGCGCGCAAGTAACACAGGGCAGGCCGGCAAGGTCTGACAGGCTTTGAGAGGCGAAAAGGCCTGACACAGCGCAAGCATGTGTGTCAGAGCCCTGCGGTTTTTGGAAATACTTTCAAAGGTCAAACATGTCCATGCGTGACAGTCGAGCAAAAAGCAAAGGCTGCTTTGAGGAACTGAGCCAAAGAATCAAACACCCCGGTAGAAAGTTGCGACTGATACCACGAGGCGGTCACAAAACTACAAACACTCGTCAGCCAAAAAGGGTCTGTCACGTCATGGCCCAAAGATGAAACGGCGCCTTCTCCTGAAACTTGGAAATTCTCAGAAGCACACGTTTGTGACCATATTGAATCATGCAGGCCTTAGGGGCCTCATGAGCTGGAAACAAAATGGTTGGCAAATGAAACTGGTGGCGCATCGCTTGCGCCAGCCTCATGCCCCACACAGCTGTGCTCCAAGGCCCACTGGCAAGGATGGTCTTTCAAACTCTCGGCCAGCTTGATCACTGCCTGCGCACGGATGCATTCTTCACGCAGCTCAGCACCCTGGCATGAAAGCACGCAATGAGCAACAACTGGAGCATTGAGCATTTTTCTGCTAGACTAAGCAGCAGGTGTTACTATAGACAGCTATACCTTCTCGATGTAGAGCAGGGCCGCAAAGACAGCGAGCACAGGACAGGCCCCGAACATAGCATTCCCGGCCATTGACACCAAAGCAGTCTTGCCAACACTAGCTGGCAGCTCGACGTGGGCCAGACCCAGGGCGTCGGAATCTTCTTGGTGTACAGGCCAGCCTTGCGCTCTCATGAGTTGCTTGCCTGACAGGAACTGCTGGAGTTGCACCAGGTACAAGCTGCCACTTGAGGTTCTCAGAGTCGGCAAGCATCCGTTGACCAACGCAGTCACGGGCCTTGCTTCGGATTGCCTCAGGTCAACCACAGGCGTCTTGCGAAGCAGCCCCTGCTGAATCAGGTTCTCATACTGCCGGAAGTGCTTCTCCTCGGAGTTGGTCATGCGCCTCGTGGACTGCATGTCTGGCGCCGCCGCAAAAATCTCCGGGTCAAACGGGCCTTTGTGTTCAATCTTGACTGCCGCCATTGCCTCGATCCAAGAGTTGACTTCGGGGCCTGCCCACTTGCAAGTACTTTTGCGCCATAGCAACAGGTAGAGCCGCGGCCGAGCCATCGGCAAGGAAAACACCTCGCTCGGGTCAAGGTTGGATTCTGAGTAGTGGTAGATGTCCCCGAGCGCGGCAGCCAAAAGATCTGGAGGATATCTCTCAACATTCTCAAACACCAGCACATCAGGGGGGTCCGCTCTGATCTTTGCGATCCATGCTTCGTGGGATTTGTAGCGGGGGTCCTCCGTGCCAAGGCGTTTGCCAAAAGCGGACCATGGCGGACAGGCTGGCCCTGCAATCTCAATGCGTAGACCCAAACGGTGGTCAGCTGGCGGCGGCGCAGGATCACAGCATGCTTCGTGGGTACAGCACCACGCAGCGTGCAACCCTCGACACTTTGGGGGTCGTTTGCCGGCACCACGCTTGAAACGATTGACCACCTCGTGGATGTCATTGAAGACACACCGGTCCGGCCACCGTGCGTGAAGAACTGCTTGGCAATGGGAGTCCCAATCAAGAGCCGGCCCAAGCTGCAGTGCGCAGCCATGCATCCCCGCCAGGGCCTCCACGCCAGTCTCAGCCATGCCGCATCCGCTGAAGCTTGTTGTAAGGGTCACATGATCCAGCCGCTGCAGGGCTCGCCTCACTTTGTCTGCGCCAATGCTTTGGCTCATCGCTGCAACCATGTGCCTGGGCAGCTGGAAAATATCGTGGACGTCATCGATGCTAGTGAGAACTGCGTCGGGCAGGATGCCGGCGTGGGGCTGCGGGCTGCGGCTTCGCTCTCTGGCAAGGGCTCGCCAGAACAATTGTTTCCTGTCCCCTTCTTGCCCACAAGCAGCTCTGTCTCCCTGGCAGCGCGTTATGGACTGAAAGAGCTTCGATAAACTCATGCTGCGCTAGTGCGCCCCCATCCAATCCGTACGGACCTCTGAGCCCTCAAGCACCGGTCAGTACAAAGAGTGACACACCCATGCAAACACATGAGTCGCAGAATGAGTCACAGCTAACCTCAGGGCCTACCCGACAGCGTGGCATGACTGCAAGCACGGCAGCACCACGCCTCTGCCCAAAATTGCAGGGGCAGCGCCGGCTTCAGGTCACCGCTACGCTTGCCTTGCTGCTGGCTGCAAAATGCCCCCGCGCGCAAGTAACACAGGGCAGCCCGACAAGGCTTTCACAGGCGATGCGTGCGTCGGTCAGAGCCCCGCGTTTTTGGAGATACTTTTGAATGTGAAACATGTCCATGCGTGACAGTCGAGCAAAAAGCCAAGGCTGCTTCTGAACCCGTGCCAAAGAATCAAACACCCCGGTATAAAGTTGCGACTGACACCACAAGGCGGTCACAAAACTGCAACCACTGGTCAGCCCCCTGCGAAATGAGTCTCTAAGGTTTGCGCAAGCTCAGAAGCACCTGTGCTTGTCACTAAAATGAATCACGCGGGCCTGAGGGGCCTCATGTGCACATTTGTGCTCAAAGCTGGAAACAATATGGTTGGCAAGTGAAACTGGTGGCGCATCGCCTGCGCCAGCCCCTCATCCCCCACACAGCTGTGCATCCACGGCAAAGGCGGAAAACTCAGGGAGTTGCCCCGCTGACCCCGAGAAAGCTGCCTCAGGTACAGCACTGCACGCTGAACAGCCGACTCCTCGTGAGTTTCCAGGAGCGCCAAAGCACATTGAAGCCACCCAACAGCATCAACTGGAGGGTTAGGTTTACGTAGATCTGCTGGCGCCCGAGGCATCCTGCAGAAGAAAGCCTTCAAGTACTCGCGAGGAATAACCACCCGGCAGGCCTGACTTTGCACATCGTCCCACAGAAACCTCTTCACAACCATCACTGTGTCCAACGGGTGAGGCTCCAAGCCCAAGGACCTTCCTGCTGCAGTGCGCGGGGCTTGGATTTCAATATCTTGCTGTGGCAAATCTTTTCCTTGCCGGGCCGAGGACCAAGAAACATGTTGGCCAACACCCAGACCGAAAGGCGCCGAAATGGTTTACACTGCAACAAACAAGTTACAAAACACAGTGAGCTTTGAAGAGCCCAGCGTCGATACAAGAACAAAAATGCGTGGTTGGCTGTCAAATCCAGCCTGAGGCCTCCTGTGATATGGATTTGCAATTGGTTGAAATATCCCTGCCAGTCACGGACACTTTCAAGCACCTCCACAACAGGCTCCGCCCCAGAAAGAAAATTCTTCAAAGCTGGCCGGCGCAAGACTGCCCGAAGCTCCTCAGCCACTGCCCAAATATCCGGAAGGAAGTCCAACCATTGAAACTGCCGGGAGAGGACGCCAAACATTTGGTCCAAAATGTTGTGTGTGTGTCCTTTAACGTGGTTCAGCAAGGCTGTTGATGAAAACAGCCCCCGGGACTGCAACATAGCCAAAAATAGCATCGTCGTTGTGTTCTTGGACTCCCGCACTGTGTTATCGGCTATCAGCGTCATCTCACATGGCACTGGCAGATTTCTCTTCTCTGCAGTGCGTTTGACGTGCTCTAAAGCCCTTGCCAAGCATTCGCAAACCATGCTGCTATCATGGGGCATCACCGAATCAGCCACAAACAGGTGCAGACCAAAGTAAAAACACCAGACCCCTTGCACCTTGCATTTCGGCCTTTTGCAGGACGGGGATCCAAGCTTCTTCGCTGCCCGCCACGCTTTTAGTCTTGGAACAGCCCAATGGCTCTGGTCCATCCCGTCAGTGCAAATCGTCAGAATAGGTTTCGGGCCTGTGGGTGGCATTGATCTCAATGCTTCCTCCAACTCCCGAGACATTGCGACCTGCCTGTAGTGCTGTTGAAGACTGTTGGTAGCATCCAGCAATTCAGAGTAGCCTTGCTTCTTGGCATTCTTGATGTCCCTTTTGAGGCCTGAACAGTAATCGCATTCCACAAAGTCGCCCTTGCTTCGGAACCGCAGGCAGCCTTGAAATTTCTTCCAGTGCCTGTTGAATGTGCTAAAGCTCACCTTCTCTCGTCCTTGTCCGGCAGTCATGTCCCTGTGAAGGTCATAGACACTTCCAGGTGGCAAATACCGCAACGGAAGGCCAATGAGGTTTGTGCCCAGCCCTGTTTGCATGTAACGGGTAAACACAGAGGAATCTGCTAAAATCTGCTCAGGCCCAGGATCGGGAGGGGGGCCACTGTCAGACTCAGAGCCAGAGCTGTCTGGCTGACCCATCAGCGTGTACCGTTGCGCTTTGCGCTTCATCCACTTGCCGTGAAACTTGTGGGGGAGCGTCTCGCCAAGTCCTTTCTGGTTAGGGCAGACCTTGAAACACGGTAAGGAAGGAATAAGAAAAAACAGCGCAACTACAATTTAGGCTTTCTTGAAGTGCAAAGGTTAGTTTTGACAAGCAATGCCCGGCAGGCGACTGCATCCAGGGTGCTAGTATACAGCGTCACGAGGTAAGCGCGAACTTTGGCCTCTTGACAGGCCACGCGAGCCAACCGAGGCTGACCTTTCATTCGGAGATCCACGACCGTCTCGCCGCGCGAAAACCTTGCCAGCCTCATCTTGCCCAGCTGAAACAAGCGTCTGAAGCACGCCAGGGAAAGGAAAAGGCCCAGGACACACACCGATTCTCCAACGCACTGCTCCAACACTGTGTCTCTGACAGCCTTGCGCTGGCTTGCAAACAAGCTCAGCAGCTGGACCAGCTCATCCATGATGGCCTGGAATTGACTGAAGCAGCATTGTCGGGCACAGAAGCAACGCGTTCTTGAGACCAATCCAGACACTCTTGCGGAACATCCCCTGGACGCCTTGAAATCTTTCCTTGCTGCCCGCGCTTTCTTTTGGCTGGCTCTTCTTGCATTGTTATAGCGCTTCTTCCTCTGATTGGGCTGTGGCTGGTTGATGGTGAACTGAGCAGCTTGGTTCTGGATCAACTTGGCAGTCAAGGCTTTGCGTTGTGTAAGCGTGTCAGGCTGTTCGCCTGGACTGTCTTCTGCGCGCTCTTGCGTTCGTGCAGCCAGCGCGAAGAATTTGCCCAAACCACAGCCGCGGCGCTGTTCTCCAGCATCGGGCAGCCCCGAAGCTCCAGCATCCAGCGCCGACTGGGAAGCCCCGGCGCCTGACGACCTGGAAGCTGCAATTGCCTTAAAGAAGGCGATTCTGGCAGGAGCAGCCATGGCGCCCAACTTGGACAATTGGTGTTCGAGCTCAGGTTGCGCGTAATCTAAAGTCACATTTTGAAGAGTAGCCAGGCCACCTTAGAGAACACTCAACTTCAACTTTAACTTAACGTCAAGTCTCAAACTTCAACTTCAATGATCCTCCACACTGAGCTCTGCCGTCATTATCTTGCTTCTAGGAAGCAGCAGGCCTGCTCGCAAAAAAGCACAAGAAACAAGCCAGGCGCGCCCGGGCTGGTTTTTTAGAGGCTCCTCGCCTGGCGGGGCCGCTTCCGTTTTCGCTTCCGTTTCCCAGTCTGGAAATGGAAATCCCCCTTCCGGAAACGGCCGAAAGCCTGGAAAAACGGACCGGCTGTAGCTGGAAACGGAAAACGGAAAGCCCCCTTTTCAGAGCGGCCGGAAATGGAAAAGGGCTGAAATCACCCTCAAAGGGTTGGCTTCTCGTGGCTAGAGTCCCCTTCTGCCCAGTGCCAGCCAGGCTAAAGTGTTTTTTTGGCGGGGTCGGCTGGAAATTGAAAGTCCTCTTCTGGCGACTGGAAAGGGAAAGCGAACATCTTCTTCGGACATGCCCCAGCCCCACCCCAAGCATGTCGCCCAAGTACCCTGAAAACCTTTGAAGCCTAGTTTTGGCGCATCAAAAAGCCCCCGTGTAAGGCAAGGTTGGAAAAACTTGCTTCCCCATCATCCCCATCTCTAAGTTTTTGGCAGGGGGGTAGCAGCTTTGCCTTGCACGCCAAGTGTTTGGATACTGCCAAAAACTTGGGAGAGGCAGTTGGGGTAGGGGCTTTCATACCAAGCGTCCAAAGACTTGGGATTCGCATCTCCAAGCTGCTGCTAGTATTTGGAGATGGCCAAATACTTGGCGAGGCAGGATAAGTTGTGAACCAACCACTTGGGCCTTCATGCCAAGTGCTTGCTCCAAAAACTTGGTTCCACATCTCCAAGTTTTTGGCCAGGGCCAGCAAGCCTGCCTTGCGCGCCAAGTGTTTGGAGATGGCCAAACATCTTGGCAAGGCGGGCTAAGTTGTTGGGAGTGGGGCCAACCACTTGGACCTTCGCGCCAAGCGCTTGCTCCAAACACTTGGTTCCCCATCTCCAAGTCTTTTGGAATCTCCAAGTTTTTGGCAGGGGGGCAGCAGCTCTGCCTTGCGCGCCAAGTGTTTGGATATTGCCAAAAACTTGGGAGAGGCAGGCTCAATAGTTGGGGTAGGGGCATTCACAACAAGCGCTTGCTCCAAAGACTTGGGTTTCCCATCTCCAAGTTCTTGGCCGCGGCCCAGCAACATTGCCTTCTGCTGCTAGTATTTGGAGATGGCCAAATACTTGGCGAGGCAGGATAAGTTGTGAACCAACCACTTGGGCCTTCATGCCTGGTGCCTGCTCCAAAAACTTGGGTTTCCAATCTCCAAGTTTTTGGCCAGGGACCAGCAAGCCTGCCTTGCGCGCCAAGTGTTTGGAAATGGCCAAACATCTTGGCAAGGCGGGCTAAGTTGTTGGGAGTGGGGCCAACCACTTGGGCCTTCATGCCAAGCGATTGCTCCAAAAACTTGGGTTTCCAATCTCCAAGTTTTTGGCCGGGGACCAGCAAGTTCTGCCTTGTGCGCCAAGTGTTTGGAGATGGCCAAACATCTTGGCAAGGCGGGCTAAGTTGTTGGGAGTGGGGCCAACCACTTGGGCCTTCATGCCAAGTGCTTGCTCCAAAAACTTGGGTTTCCAATCTCCAAGTTTTTGGCCGGGGACCAGCAAGTTCTGCCTTGTGCGCCAAGTGTTTGGAGATGGCCAAACATCTTGGCAAGGCTAAGTTGTTGGGAGTGGGGCCAACTACTTGGGCCTTCATGCCAAGTGCTTGCTCCAATAACTTGGTTCCACATCTCCAAGTTTTTGGCCAGGGACCAGCAAGTTCTGCCTTGCGCGCCAAGTGTTTGGAGATGGCCAAACATCTTGGCAAGGCAGGCTAAGTTGTTGGGAGTGGGGCCAACCACTTGGGCCTTCATGCCAAGTGCTTGCTCCAAAAACTTGGGTTTCCAATCTCCAAGTTTTTGGCCGGGGACCAGCAACTCTGCCTTGCACGTCAAGTGTTTGGAGATGGCCAAGCATTTCGGAAAGGCGGGCTAAGTTGTTGGGAGGGGGGCATGTGTGTATCAGCATGATTTCTTTTTTGAAATAGACAAGCAAGCCTTATGGCTCAGGCAGTCAAAGACTTTAATCATTCAAACTCAACGACAACTGAGTGACTTCTCTTTGCGCAGCGCCAAAATGATGTTGCGGGCAACTCAGGCAAGAGGGCTGACCACGGGTAGCTCACAGCAAGCCCGCAATGGGCTTGGCCCAAAAACGTAGTTTCTGTTTAGCGCCATGAAGTGAATGGGAATGAGTCAACGATTTTGCCTTGATGCCAAGTATTTGGATAGGGCCAAAGACTTGGAGCGCAGCCACTGGGTTGTTGGGAGGGGCCAAGCACTTGGATTTTCACACCAAGCGCTTGCTTCAAAAACATGGTTCTCCATTCGCTAGAGGCTGTTTTCTTCCGGGCCAAATGTTTGCCAAAAAGCAATTTGGAGACGCAGGTACTGAGAACGGCCACGCGCCTGAGCCCTGCAACCAAAAACCAATGGCCAATGGCCTTCAATTGCCTTGGGCCGCCTGGTCAGGACAAGAGCGCTTTCAATTTGAGACGGCGCTAGGCCCCAGGCGACACCCGGAGGCGAATGTACGTCCTGCAGTCAGGCAAATCTAGGCATGCGGTGCTGCGAATGAAAAGGCACTGACACAGCTTGCGCACTTCAAGCGTTGCTGCAACTTTTTTCTACCGAGGCATGAGGGAGTCCAAGGCCCTTTGGAAGGAGTCGCGGTGGTCGTGCGCCATCTTTCCGAACCTTGGTTGGCCCACATGACAGCGTCCGTTCTGGCAAAACGGCCCCTTGTAAGAAAACAAGCAGGGAACCACAGCGCAAGAGCAAGCCAAGCAACGTCCAGTGGTCCCCAAACTGCGCTTGACGCCGTTGGGCACGCACATAGTCCACCTCGGAGCAGGACGTGGCTGAATCTGAAGGCGTCGACAAGTAAATGTCACAGCATACAGAAATCAAACTCAAAGCAGAACCAGCAACGGCAACTACTGCTGCCCAGCAACGGCTTTGGACCAGGTCGTCCACTTGGCGATCATCGCCACGGCAGCGCACACCTGAGGCGCCCGGTGCACCCCAGAGTTGCAGTGGATCACCACATTGCGGCTCTTCAGCGCAAGGAAGCACTGCACGATCAGCTGCTCCAACCTAAGCGCGCCAGCTTGTGTTGCTTGGAAAAGAACAATTTCAATGCGTTTTGTTTTAAAGCCTGCCCAATCCCCGCTGTGTAATTTTAAAGAACGGCCATGGCAAACATCACACCTTGACGTTTCAGGATGCCCTCAGGCTCACGGTTGTCGCCTTTCTTTCGACAAGGCTCTCCGAGTGCTGACCCTTGTGCTTGTGGTTGGGGTTGAAGAAAATCAGCTTGCACTCGTTGCTGGCCCTTGCCATCGAAGCCCGAGCATCAGCATGCAGCCTGGGTTGGTGAAGCGAAGCTTTACCCGCCGACATTGGAAGCTCTGTGGCAAATCACTGCTCAGGGTCTTAGGCAATTCCCAATGTGTTTGAAGACATGAGAAAGTCTGAAGTAGAGCTGACAAGCTGCTCCTCCCGCTGGCAGTTGATGATCAGCGCGTCACCCACAGAGCCGTAGTCCAGATGACCGCAGCAGAAGAGCTTGCCGGGGCCCCAGGGCAGCGGAATGTGCGTCCTAGGATGCCGAGCGAGCGGTTTGGGGAGCAACAGGAAAAACAAGATGAAACCAAGAAGCGGCGCGCCGCGAAAAAAAAACAGTAGCCCAAGGTTCAATTGGTAGCCCTTGTCGTCCGTGAGGTACGCCAGAGAGGCGATGCTCCGAGTCTCCTTCCAAGTGCTTGGCCTTCAAGCCAACCAAGTTTAAGGAGCACAACTTTGCCTTGTGTGCCAAGCGTTTGGACACAGCCAAAAACTTGGGGAGGCTCAGTTGTTGGGTTTGGTCAAGCACTTGGGCCTTTATACCAAGTGCCTGCTCCCAAGTGCCTGCTCCAAATACTTTGTTCCCCATCTTCAAGTTTTTGGAAGTGTTTCGACACGGCCCAAAAACTTGGAAGAGGCAGGCACAGTTTTTTGGGGCGGTCAAACGCTTGGAACTTATAGCAAGCGCTTACTCAAACCTTGCCTTCTGTGCCAAGTGTTTGGAGATGGCCAAACACTTGGCGAGGCAAGCTCACTCCAAAAACTTGGTTTCCAATCTCCAAGTTTTTGGCCAGCAACTCTGCCTTGCACGCCAAGTATTTGGAGATGGCCAAATGTCTTGGCAGTGACCGGCAAAGTTGCTGGGAGTGGGGCCAACCACTTGGGCCTTCGCGCCAAGTGCTTGCTCCAAAAACTTGGGTTTCCAATCTCCAAGTTTTTGGCAGGGCCAGCAGCTCTGCCTCGCACGCCAAGTGTTTGGAGATGATGGCCAAACATCTTGGCAAGGCAGGCTAAGTTGTTGAGAGAGGGGCCCGACAACTTGGGCCTTTCTTCCAAGGCTTGGTCTCCCACACCAGAATGCCAGGACAAAGCCAAAATCTCATCTTCGCTGGTCACCTAGTTGGAAGTGTTGAACGTGTTCGACACTTAGATTTGGGGGGGACAGGCCGAACACTTGGGCCTTGTCGCCAACTAATAGGCCCGGAAGAGTTGCTGTCAAGTTCAATTGGCTTAACAACGTTTGTTGCGGGGCGGGACAAATTGTTCTTGCTGACTCAACCTTGGCGTGTTTTTCGTTTTTTTGCTTTTGTGTCATTGTCATGTTGCCAAGCTGCCCCTAGTCGATTTCAGAGGGCCCAAATTCACTTGCGCAGCGCGCCTCTCGGGCAGAAGGCTTGGCCTTGGCGCGAGCCCCCGCCGCTGCCGCTGCTGCTGCCGGCTCCTCCGGCGAAGGAGCTGCTGCCGGCTCGGACT